TCTCTCTCTCTCTCTCTCTCGCTCTCTCTATCTCTCTCTCTCTCACTCTCTCTCTCCCTCTCTCTCTCTCCCGCTCTCTCTACTGCTGTCGTATTTCTCATTAGTCGGCAGATTTAGCATCAAATTGTCTGTCATTCCGTTCGTGATTTCATTCCAGAGGCGTTAATAACGCCACTACGTTGCGAGATATAGCAATGCAATTATGGTGCACTGCGAGGTAATTTCACATCGATTTGGTTTTGTCAGGGACCGAGTCTAAATAATTTCTGCTTTCAAAGGAGTGATGAAAAAATATATACGTACATAATTCACAGTGCGTCGGAGTTGACACGAGATTCCGCAAGTTTTGGACTGCGCTGAAATGATTAAAACTATATTCCCGGGAGAAGCTAGTGGGATGTGTTTGGATTCAGAAGCTGCGAAATGAATAGGGAATAAATTAAACCTTAAACAACATCGCCTTGTCAGTGCACACCAGTCTTGGTCGATAGTAAGGAAAACATTTAATGTTTGTTCATGATCTGCGCATAAATTTTACGATAGCTTGCATGTCATCCTTTCGGCCGAAGAACCGAACTTTAATTTCTCGTGCCACCGTACCCATCATGATAATGAATTTTTTTACGTAGTTTGTCATTAATCTTTTTCCCGTGGCTCCTCTGATATTACATATACACCTCTTTAGTAAATCACCTTTTGTCGACGCTGTGGTCACGACATCACACGTTGTGAAGCAAAACATTCCAACATGACATTGCTAGCACAATTTTCATATACGGGAAACAATTATGAAGCCAGCGCACGTACGTATATTCGATATATAAATTCTGAAATACAAATTAAAGCGGCATTTTAACGCGAGTAGAAGTTCCGTCAATAAGATTTACGATTTCGGATTACGGCACTCCTCCCCCATCGGAATGAGCAGACGATCTCTCGTGTGAATAAAAAAAACTCGGATTTGCCGTCGGTCTCAGTTTTGTCCGGGCCACTAATAAAACAAGCGAAAACCTGGTAGTACTTAACCCGAAAGGAATTGGCATGAAATGATGGCGCCCGCGTTCAATTTTCTCGCGATTGCTATAGCTATAGCCTATATTGCACGCGAATATCTCGATGGGCAGAAATCGTTTACGCGCTCATTTCATTAGCTGACTCGAGGCGGATAGATAGCTATAATAGTCGGCTGCCGAGCGAAGTGTGTGTTTACACAACCGGTTAGTGCGTCTGCTACTCATTCCCGCTGCTCGCGCCCTCTATTTCGTCGGCGCGTTTGCATATTTACATTTAACATTAAAGTGAACACTTAATCGAATTCTACTGATATAGTTGCGAACGAGACCGAATAGTTAGTTACGTGGTAAAGTAAACGATATATAAAATCTTCATACTCGTGGAAATATATATGTGTGCGAAAAGTGACGATACGCCTCGGGTGCGACTTGCTGCTGCTAGTATGGCAGTAACAACATGGATGAAATAGTGCATTCTTTGAATGCGAAACAACTTAACGAATCCAAACTCGTACGTCTAGGGTATAGTGTACGGCTGGACTAGTTAGTTCGTAACACGAGTTCGTTCGCGTCATATCAGCGTTCACATTCGTTCGCACATAAGTAAAGTAAATCATTACAAATCTCTTGAACATTATTTCTTTCGATCTGTCGTTGGCGTGATTAGCATAGTCGTTAGCATTGCATTGATTCGCACGCGCACCAGAAAACACAATCTCACGCACTTCGTAAACGAATAAGCACAACGAATAGGCCTAAACACAACGAATAATGTGTCATATACGGAGAACCTTCGACGCCTTCCTCAGACTCGTCGCCTTACGATGTTGTTTCGATGTTGATGTTGGCGATCATCAAGTCGTGGCATGATGTCGCACACGGTGAACAGTAATACGATTTGTCCACTTAGAATAGTCCGTCCTGTACACTTAATGATACAACTAGAATAACGTTATTTTCGTTTTTTGGAATCCCGATTTGTGGATTGCCATCGCTGGTAGTTCTCAGTGACAAATCTATGTACAATTATTCTCTTGTTAATATTCCCACGCATATTTATTGGCCAGGCATCAGTCGCCCTATTTAATTATTCTTGTCGAAAAAAAGTGCATGCACCACACACGCACGCACGCACGCACGCACGCACGCACGCACACACACACACACCTCAAATATTTTTTGGGGACAAATAAGCAAATAGAATATATGTTATATTTATTAGCCATCTTGCAGAACAGATGTTCAAATATGGAAACCAGCGGTAGGTTCCGTGGCGAACTGCATACGAAAACTTTACTGTGGGCAGTTGAGTCACCGCTAGCGTGCGTGCGTATGTGCGTGCGTGCGTGCGTGCGTGCGTGTGTGTGTGCACGAGTGTCGAGTATACAGCAGATGTGAAAAACTGGTCGAGCTACGGCTAATCAGATGTTTAACGAAATTTTTAAAAATCAAACGACCGGCTAACATACAATATTTTAATATTCTGGCACTCCCGTCACCTCTTGTCCTCGATCTCTGCCCCCCCCCTCTCTCTCTCTCTCTCTCTCTCTCTCTCTCTCTCTCTCTCTCTCTCTCTCTCTCTCTCTCTCTCTCTCTCTCTCTCTCTCTCTCTCTCTCTCTCTCTCTCTCTCTCTCTCTCTCTCTCTCTCTCTCTCTCTCTCTCTCTCTCTCCTTCTCTCTCTCTTTCTTTGTGTCTACGAACTGTGGCATATGAGTTCAGCTAGCTAAGCACGGTTGCCGTTTCGTCGCAGATCTGAACAACAGGGGCCTAGAATCCAACGACAACGATGAGCAGATGGAGAAGATGAGGAAGAAGCTGGAGGCAAATAACCTCCTTAAGCAGCAGGTGAGTGTCTGGCCTTCCCTCGCCAGAACTCACGAGTCGGCCGCGCGAACATGCATCCCGTTCGCTTTCCGCACGCACACACTCGCTTATGTTACTCGCTCATGCACCAGTTACTCCACTTCCATATTCCATGGAGACTATACTATGGTTACTATCAGTTACTATGGTTACTATGGTTACTATCAGGAATAAATAATAATAGATATATATACTAGATATATATATATAGATATATATAATAGATATATATATATAGATATATATAATAGATATATATACATAGTTACTATGGTTACTATCAGGAATAAATAATAATAG